GCTGTGGTGCCATTAAGCACTGGCTTCACCAAACCACTGACTGGAAAAAATGCTTTCGGGTTACCATTCATGGTTTCTGAAAAATGGCCAAGAAATCAGAAAATTTGCAAACTTATGAGCACAACTGTATTTAGTGAATTCTGGCATGCATCGTATAGCCAGCTTTCATTGTAAACCGAATAATAACAGAATAATATTCTAGGGATGTCCCGAGCCGATCGTAAAAGATCGGTATCGGGGCCGATCGAGGTATTTTTTAACTGATCGGAATCGGCTCTATGTATCGGACCGATCGAATGTTTACGTCAGCTACGTCACGCACGTGTCGCAAACTCGCATGTTAAACTCGCATGTTGTTTACTACTTGCAATACAGTGCTAAGATGTCTGCAGTGTGGAAGTATTTTAAGTTGGAAAGTGATTCTAGTCTGGTAGCTACATGCAACGTTTGCAATGCGAGCATTTCACGCGGTGGTACTAGCAAAGCAGCCTTTAATACTACCAACTTGATAAGGCATCTTAAAACGAAACACGACAGAATATTGCGACTTCACTGAGCGAACGCAGGAAAAGGCTAAACCATTTTATTGATGCACTGCTGAGCTATTTGGTTGTCAAGAGTACACACTGGATTGATTTAATAACCTGCATGCACTTAAAGTGTGCAATTAGCACAAGGAAAAGACAAGTATCGGATCGGGACTCGGTATGGGTCGATACTTAAAATTAAATGACTCGGATCGGATCGGGGGCTCAAAAAACCTGATCGGGACATCCCTATAATATTCACTTGGTGTAATACGACAATTCAGTACTCAACAAACTGCATCAGCCATTCATTGCTCTCTCTTGACAGTGTCAGGCATGAGAAGAAGCCCCCACATAGAAGCTGTGTGTGAGAGAGAGAGTGTACAGCGAGGACGCACTATACTGGAGATGCATGTGCATGTTGTGACTGTGTCCATTTCTCAAGATTTAAGGCTGAAAGGATGCCATTTGGGAGATTGGTTGTGCTGCATGAAGCCTGATGAATAATGAAAAGCCCACCCCCAGAGTGATTATGCACAGTTATATATTTATTTTCTCCATCACTGATACAGTGACACAAAGAGTCGCTTCTCGTTTTGCGCGGGCATTTCGGTCCTAGTCTCGAATGGAGCTCTTCTGGAGACGAAAGAGAACACAAACAAGCGCTACTTACGCTCTCACATTAAAGAGCATTCCAATCACAGGCTAGCTTTCCACTCTTCCCTTTTTCCTTCCTTCCTGTTCTGCTGTATGCTGCAATTGATTGCAGACCTGTGCGTCTGTGTATTTTTACTTCTCAGAAGCTTGATTCATCCTTCCCACGACTTGTGGTTTCATCTAGATGTTATGCAATTATGAATGAAAAAAATGCTTCATCTAGTTGCTCTGTAGATGAGTGGACACTGCCTCGGAAAGCTTCTTTCTGTCTACGCCTTTTCTGTGGATTCTGTCTTGCAATGTTTTTGTTTAGTGAGTAAATCAGTACTTTTATTTCTTGTCAATAACCAATTAGATAATGTGCTTTCACACAGCTTTGTGTTCAATTATTTTCAGCAGTATGGATATTGCTTTCTAGTTATCCATTTTATTGACACCGTTTTGGTCATTTTTTATCTTTAAAGGTTATTCACCTTATCAAAATCAAAAGTTTAATTTACAAATTTCAAGAACAAATATGTAATATTATGATATTTGAACAGTTTTATGATATTTTCTGGAAATTTGTTGCATTTGCAATGTTTGAAGAAACCAGAGCACCTTGTGGCAACCCCAAATAATTCAAAAACCTTGTCCATGGTTATCTCTTTTAAGGTGTGTCATGATTTAGGGCTTGAGCACTGAATCTGTATTGAACCCTATTGTAATTGCTCAGAATATTTTAGTTTCATGGCTTTCAGAAGGTGCAAACGTACTTGAGAAGTTTCTAAAGTTGATATTTTACCAAATCCTTAGCTGCTCTCATCTACTTTCGACTCGTCTGGTCTGATCTGCACACATCGCCCCTCCTCCCTCTGTGTTGCTTAGAGCGATTTCTCAACAGCCCAAGCGAACGCTTCTGTCTGATTCAAATCAGACAGAAAGATGTTTTTTTAAGATGGTTTTAAAGATTTAAGTTATAGATGAAAAATTGAATGTACTGTGATTTTTTTATATTTGTTTCATTCTAGTTTTTGTGTAAAAGATTTCTGATTATGTGTAATATTGAAACATTTGGAATAGTGATAAATTGCTATTAATGTTAAATAGTTTATAAGTTTTTTTGTTTGTTTCCAAGCATCGACGATAATGGGCTAGTATTTACTTGGTATCAGATCGATCTCAAAATCTGCAGTGTCGCCCGCCCCTAGAATTGGACGCAAAATCAAACTGTCATTTTTGACTCATCAGGAGTCAGTAGTATTACATTACAGACCTCATGATTGGCCAGTTTTGTGAGTGTAGTTAGGATTTCTTAACTTCTTTTTCTTTTATCGTTTTCACTGAAATTTCAAGGGAATTAAAATTGCCTCTGTCCTACTTGAGCCAATACAGATGCATCGATGCAACCCTCTAATGGTCAAATCACATTACATTATTAATGAGTCATTTGCATACGCGTCTGTGGGAATGAGTCAAATGATCGCTGATGCTGTGGAAGTCATAGAAATGCACAGAGCAGCATTTTTTGCATATTTCATTACACATTTTGAAAAGAGTCTCTGTCCTCTTACAAATGTGTTTTGTCATCATCTACCAAATATTTCTAATGAACCAGGCACAGGACATAATGTCTGCCATGAGAGGAACAGACTGCTCCTGCTGTCACATTGGCCTTCTTTAAAGACCGGTATACTTTAGATGTCTCAGAGTGATGCAGAATTTCCTGTGTTCCTTTGGTAATAATTTTAACTAGAGATGGATGGATCGTTTTTTTTTAGAAGTCATTCTACAATTTCATACATTGGCAAGTGTTCATGTTAAATTCGATATGCAGAATGATAGAATTGTGTTAGATTTAAAATTTACTTTGCATCCATTATGTTTTCATATGTTTGCACATTTGTGTAAACAAATACATGCAAACATACATGTACACACACAATGGGTTTATAACATTATATTGGAAATCAATATTAAACAATAGATGAGTTCCTACTTGATACAAAACAGACGCTGTGACTGGCAAACCCACCGGTGTATGCAGAAACTTCTAAAGGTTACTGCCCAAATCTGCTTTATTTTTCTGCCTTTATTTAAAAAAAAGCCAAAGTTGCCTTAAAAGTGTAATTTGGAGGCAGAACGAGACATTCATTCTTTCGTTTTTCAAAAAAACGCTTATTCCCTTTTGGGGTCACGTGGGAATTTAGATTATTCAATTAACCTAACCGCATGTTTTTGGGATTGTGAGGGAAACTCGAGTCACCGGAGGACACCCATGCAAAATCCTTCGAACCGGCAACCTTTTAACTGGAAGGCCACATTGCTACCCACTGCGCCACCCTCCGTGCCACTAAAAGTTAATTGATGTACTACACCTGTGGGTAGTATTTGTATCTATGCCTCTATCTGTCTAGCCAGCATCAATTCTTACAGGTAAATAGCACAGTCAGGGATTTGTACAATTATAGTCAGGTGTATGATTCATTACTCATACCAAACAGCATGCACTAGTCGTGAACTGAAACAGCTGTGTAGGAGGCTTTTCTTAACTCTGTTACCAAGTAGAGGTTGAGCAATAATTTCTGGTCATTTTCTCAGAGTACAGCAGCAACTGTACTTATCCTGCGACAACAAAGTCTCTCCCAAAAAAAAAAAAAAGGTTTCTTTTGAAGAAGCAGTTATGCTACTTGTATGTTGTATACCATAAAGGTTTCTTAAACATGTCAAAATCTCAGAAAATTAAGCTAATATGAGATTCCGAGGCTTCAGTGATGTGTATAACCTAAAAAGCTTCTTACCATCATAAACGTTACGTCATCCCTAACACAGTTAGAATAAATGATCCCATTATTTCAGCATTAGATCCTCCGCACGTATGATTTATGATAAACATTTGTCTGTATAAATGTATGCTAAAACCCTGTCAAGAGGGTGTGAAACCAGATTAATTTTACACCCTTTGCTGTGAGTCTATTTGGGATACCCACCGACTCCAATATAAGTGTTCAGTGTTGTAATGAGTGATGGATTAAGTTCTCGTTTTCTCCACAGGCTGCAGCGGCATCAGGCTGATTGAGATCATACATTTAGCTTCACAGCTCATGCAGTTCATTAAATGCTTGTGAGAATGGATTTCTGGGTCACAGCTATTGTCGCTTATGAAAAGCCTAATGGGTTAGCATATTAGCTTGCGATGAATTTAAGATAAAATTGATTTATAAGCTTACATGTCCGATGTCTAATCGTATTCACTCCAAGGGTTTTGTCTCAGATATGCACCTCCCCAGCTTCTTTCCTTACCAATGTTTCTGTGTTTAATAGTCAGCCTGGAATCACACTTGTTACTCTGGAGAGAGTCATATCATTAGTGCTGCCTCATGGCCATTAGCTCTCCTTCGGAATGAACGATGGAGCACTCTGATGATTTAACTAAAGAGCGACCATGCCGTGTTGGGGTCCTGGCTGGCTGTGTCCAGTACATGTTGGGGCCGGAGACTGCAGATGAAGTTATCTGATACAGTCAACATTAGGGTCACATGAGGTCACAGCTTGGCGCTCCCTTGAGCACCAATATTCCCTTTTTTATCTGCATAATTTATTATTATTTTTTTAAATATATGTACATTTTTTTTATATCTATGCCATTGTTTTATTAGTCTGGATGTATTTCCCAGGTTGCTGCTTACAATTGATCTTGTTGGGACTTGCCTGATCTTGTTGGGACTGGGAACTATGTAATTGTGTAGGAGCCATTCAGTTTTCATGTTGACCACTACATTTACATTTCTGCATTTGGCAGACGCTTTTATCCAAAGTGACTTACATTTGAATGAATGCATTCCCTGGGATATGAACCCATAACCTTTTGCATTGTTTGCGCAATGCTCTACCAGCTGAGCCAAAGGAAAGCTTGATAAATTATGAGATTGTTGAGTACTTTGACGACAATTCCTACTAGACATCAATGGCTTTCAAATCTGACTTGTATTTTGTTTTTGAGAAATTTGAACAAATGCTCTTTCACTCTTGCAGCAGCCTCATATTCCTGAAGAGAATAAACTTGTGTAAAGACAACAGTATTTCAATAACATTCCGTCAATAACACCTGAATGCTTTGCTCGTCCTGAAACCTGAATAAACCCGTTGTACTTTTTTGTTCTGTTATTGCAGATATGACTTTGTGGAGGTGGAGGAGCCGATTGGAGGAATAGTCTTGGGTCGATGGTGTGGTTCAGAGATAGTTCCTGGGCCGCAGGTATCCAAGGGCAACCAGATCCTGATTCGCTTCGTCTCTGATGAATACTTTCCCTCAAATCCAGGGTTCTATATCCGCTATTCTTTGCTTCAACAGGTAAGCAATTACTCATGGAGCATTTGAGCTCTGAGAAATGACGCTTGTGAAACTGTGACAGCATTGAGTGACTGAAAATAGATTTGTGAATCAGTGAAAAGGTTGAGGGGCGGGGGGAGTAGTATGTCCGCTGTCAATTAAGTTGATTCGTAATTCAGTGACTGAGAGTGTTTGTGTTTAAAAAAAAATCACAAAACATCTCTGTGATTGGATAGTTTGTCGTGCATATTAACAGACCAGATGACGTTGGTCATCTTCTGACCTCTATGGTGAGGATATTCAGGAATTTCCCAAATTACCTTAAAAATGGCAAATTAACTAACAATTTTTTTGTTCTTGAAAGTAAAGTAAATGCTTCAAATATATACATGTCTTGGGTGAACCCACTCATGTGTTTAGAATTTGTGTCAAGGGATTGGGCCACAGAAGTCCCTGCCTTCGACTATAATCCCTTCTACATTGAACCAGCCCCTTATGACCCCTCCTGCTGGTGGTGAGCCCATGGAAGGTCATTCCCATGTTGCTCCTTCGGGCTGAGCCTGACCAAGGCCCATAGGGTAAAATCAGGCCACCTGGCACTTGCGTGCGAGCCCTAACCCCAGACCTAGTTCCACCATACCGGGTGGCGTCATAGGCCTTGATTTTTCAATTGCCATAACAGGGTTTTTGAACCGCTCTTTGTCTGGCCCTGTCACCTGTGACTTGTTTGCCTTGGAAGACCCTACCAGGAACATGTAGCCCCAGAGAACATAGCTCTTAGGATCATTCAGGCACACAAACCCCTCCACCATGGAAAGGTGGCGTTTCTAGGTAGTGCTGATATGAACTGGAGGAGGTGTCTGGGGAGAGGGTTGTCTGGGCATCCGTGCTTAGACCGCTCCACTCTCAACTGGGCCCTGGATAAGTAAAAGAAGAAGTAAGTTTAAAAAGACTCTGAATTGCAGCTCCTACTTTGGTATCTTAATAAAGTGTGTGCTTTTTCCTCAAAAATGACCTGGCAACCTTAAATGGCACTCACTACATTTCAAGTTCTAATGATATTTCTCATCCCCCGAGAGCTTCTCCTCAATGTTTCACTTCATGTGCTGGTGAAAACCGCAGCGGGACATGCTCCGGTGTTTTCCACCTTGGCCCGGGTTCAGTTTCCTCCTCTTAATTTACACCCTGACAGGCATCACACGGCACATTTGAAAAGGATTATTCCCCTGAAATGATTTAATAGACATGCTTGGCTTTGATGTGTGGTGCCTGTCAGAGTTTTATGACTCCACTTTCCCTTGAATTTGTTTACCGAGACTGCAAAGCGTGTCTGAACGCTTTTCGACGAATATTGCTTTCGTTGTTTAAAATGAACAAAGGTGTGCTTTATTTGCTTCTGTTACGGGAATGACTGCTTCTATTCTACTCCTATATCATCTGTTTCATGTTGATTTAAATAAAAGGTTTCCTGGGGTTGGTAACAAGGTAAGTTAAACCTTCCATAAACCATATCTTTCTGGTAACCCGCTGCCTTTCAAGTGGAAGTGTCTCATTTTAACACTGATTTGCTCTGATTTCAGAGCTGAATGTTGATTTAAACTTTTTCTGCTAAACAACTTTCCAACATTAAAGTTCTGAGTCATATAATACTGAAGGTTTATATTTTTAAAAGGCTGTCAATATTTGAATCCCAAATCATTGCTTTTGTGGTAAATGTAGTCGCCCTGAGTTCCATAATTAATTAGTAGCGTCAACCTGCTGATTGTTAAAGAAAAAACCAATTCCAATTTTCTGGTCTATTTCTTAGATAGAACAGGAAATACATTACAACCAGGAAGTGACGAGTTCTTTAAATAGAGTAGCACAGAGATCTCAGTACCGCACGTGTTTAGCTGATTCATATACAATGTTTAAGTTAAATAAAGCTGCATTTTCTGTTAATTATTCTTGAGATCTTGCTTCAGGGTCATCTTACTTGGTTTAGGATTAATATTCTAGAACATTGTTTTATTTATTCTCACACCCTGTACAAAGCAAATCACATCTATACGAACATTCATTCATCTCCTATACCCGATTTTTCCCTTTCATGGTCACGGGGGTCTCAAGTGCATTACAAGGGATCCATTGAGGCAATGCATACATTATCTCCTGAGAGGAATTTATGTCATTTAATTAACCTGATGCAGAAAGATACAAACTCCTCCCAGTAAAAGGAGCTTCAAGACGAACACATCATTTCAAACTCAAACCTTTATAGTTAGCTTCCTTCAGCGTCACAAGAAATTACATTTCAAAACACAAAATAAAAGTAAACAATATGTAACAGGGTAGCGGTTTCAGGGGAAGACCAGTGCACACACTCGTCTCTCCCTCTCGTCACACACACACAGACTCCTGCAGCGCGCACACTGAAGGTTTGGGGCGCATCTCTTAAAGGGTAACATACATACATAATGTGGTACATAGACCTAGTAGTGGACGTTACACATGATGCCATTTCTCATAGCTACCCGTGCAGCTCTAGTGTGCGTCACTCAATAGCGTCCGTGCGGAAACTCGCCTAGGAACATTGTTTGTTTATATTATTTAATAAAAAAAAAATGCCGAAACGGTACGCAAGTGTACCGAACCGAACCGCCCGTACCGAAATGGTTCAATACATACCGTGAACCGTTACACCGTTACAAGTTAAAAACTTTTCAATAGCATTTTACAAGCCATCATCAAAGCTTGGTACAAACATTAGCTATCTAGTAATTGCAATCGTTCAAAACATTCCAATGTTGCATTGGAAATCACTTTTTAAATTGAGATTTGGGTTAATGCTATGAATTCCTCTGGTTTTATGCTACTTCATTCTTTGTATGTATGAATGTATGTATGTGTATGTATACAGTATGTACGAATAAATGTGTGTTGGATGTTGTTTGCACTAGTGCAACATCTCTTTATTCAAGCTCTTTCGTATTTGTTTGAATGAGTACAATGTGGTTTGTGTGTGTTATGGCTGCTCAGGACACCAAGCTTGCAGGAAAAGCTGTGGCTGAATCCAGCTCTATTTATATTGTGTGGAGGAGGATGTTGAGCTGGAACCTGCAATTTCAGTGCTGCCTCCTCCAGGCTTGACTCACAGCACACGGGGCTTGTTTTCTTGTCTATACTGTATGTCTAGCTCAATCCCAACCACGTGTTTGTTTGACATCTAAATGTCGATGTTAGACTTTTATGTAGTATCTCTAGATCATAGCTTGAAAATCAACAACCCCCGAGGCAGTCTGTTGTGTGATTTGTTTATCCATTCAATAAAATTGAGTGTATTCTGGTTCTCTTTTAAGGTTCTTCTTTCTTGCATATTTTAAAACATGTAATCTGATTCATACAGACTCGAGCTTTAAACACAATGCCTTTTTTATAAATCAGCTGCATTTGGAAAAGGCCAGGCAAGATCAGAACTATGGTACAGAAAAATGGTGCTCTGGACTGATGTGTCATAATTAGAAATGTTTGGCTATAGCAGAAAGCAATTTGTTTGCTGAAGATAATATTCAATAATCACTGTCTGCAGACAACAGTTAACCATGATGGAGGTACCTTGAGCATTTGGAACTAAATTTCTGAAAATGGAGTTTGAGATTTGGTCAGGATCAATAGTGATCGTAATCCAGAGAAATACAGGAAATACTTATCCATCCTGCAACACCATCAGTGAGATGTACAGTTGGCCCCAAATTTATCCTGAAGCAGGATAATGACCCCGAACATACAGCCAAAGTCATTTAGACATGTCTTCAGCATAAATAAGTTCTAGAAGTGCTGGCGTGGCTCCCATAGAGCTCTGTTCTAAATATTGGTCACTCTTTTGCTAATTCACACCTTTTTTTTCATTATTGATACTCCGAGTTTTTTATAATTTTTTTATTTATTAATATATTTATATAAATATATATATATATATATATATATATAAAATTATAGGCATGTTAACCCTTTCAAACATGGGTCTTTCAAACATGTTTTACTACTTTTACAATTTGCTCTAATAAAATACCTTTAAAACTGTTTTTTGTGGCAATGCTTGATATTTTTTAGTACAACCCCCTTTGTTGCAAATATATTTATAAAAACACAGTAATTCCACAACAATCCTGAAATAGAACAAATTTTAATACATTTTGTAATTTTTTAACAGCAAAACTGAGAACGTGCAGTTTTTGTTTTACAACAAAAATCAAAAGTGGTGAGACTAATTAAAATTAATACATTCCTCAAAAAAAGCAAAGACAAGGTCATAACAAACGAAAACTTCTAATTCTTTACACTGTTCTATGCACTTTTTGTTCCATTGTGCTTTGTTTTGTGCCAGCATTTTGAGAAAAACAAGCCATATCACAGGTCTTGTAATTCCAAGGGTTAAACCTTCTTTTCACCATTAGATGGCACTGATTTGTATGATAATTTTTTCTTACATTTTAATTCGAATTACCTTGCAAATTAAATGTCACAACTCTTGTAATGTTTGTTTTCAACCAAAACTATCAAAGCCTATAACATTTTGAAAGCTACACATTATATATGAA